CAGGGAATTAGGTAGAGTACTGAGGGGACGGGGAGAGAAATTATCAGTCATCTGAATGCTCTTCTGGTCCTATTTAAGAAATCTTAACAGCAAGATCCCAAAAGGATCAAATTATTTTCAAGTAACTTAACTGTGTCCCAAGAAAAACCCAAGAATATTTATGGAATACAAAAATATCCAGTGCCCAATAAGCTAAGTTTGCAATGAGTAGCATTAAATAAAAAATTACCAGACATGCAAAGAAGCAGGAAAATATGACCTATAATAAGGAGAAAAATCAATCGAAATAGACCCAGAACTCACACAGATGTTAGAAGTGGCATACAAGAAAATTCAAACAGATATTATAACTGGCTTAAAAACTAGAGGGAAGATTAAGTATGTTACATAGAAACAAGGTAAGATATTTTTTTAAAAAGGCCCAAACTTCTAGAGCTAAAAACTAGAATATCTGTAATCAAAAACTCTGGATAGGATTTAGAGATTCCAAAAGAAAAAACTGGTTAACTTGAAGATATAGCAATAGAAACTACATAAAATGAAACAGAAAAAAAAGATAAAAAAAAAATGAAGGAGGGACAATGAGGTGAAGGACAATGTTAAGCAGCCTAATTTATGTGCAGTTCAAGTCCTCTCATAAAGGGGAGAAACAGAAAATATATTTGAGGAAATAATAGTTGAAAAATTTCCAAGTCTGAATAAAAATATAAACCCACAGATCCAAGACACTCAATGAACCCCAAGCACAAGAGATATTAATAAAACTGCACCAAATTTCTAAAAACCAGTGAAAAAGAGAAAATCTTAAGTGCAGCCAGTAAAAACAAAAATATAAACAAACAACACAAAACAACAACAACAACATATTTTCATGTGGAGGAATAAAGAATAATAACAACAGATTTCTCAATGGAAACAATGTAAGTGAGAAGATAGTGGAATAACACCTTCAAAGAACTGAAAGAGAAACACTATCTCCTAAAATTCTATACCAGTGGAAATATCAAAAAGTGAATGAAAACAAAAATATTTAACACATACAAAAACTTCATGAATTCATCACCAGTAGAGGACACTATAAGAAATGTTAAAGGAAGTCCTTCGGGCAGAAGGAAAGTGATACCAGATGGAAATATGAATCTATATAAGGAGATGAATAGAACTGGAAATGGTAACTATGTGAGTAAATATATATTTTTTCTTATTTAAAAAGCTTTTTGAAAGATAACCAACTAAACAAAAATTATAACAACGTAGTGTGGAGTTTATAACGTATAAATAAATGTATGCAACAATAGCAGAAAGTACAGTATAAGTATACTTATACTTACTATTCATAAAGTAGTGTAATATCACTTGAAGGTTGATGGGAATATGTTAAAGATATATGCTATAAACCCAATAGCAAAGAGTTATAGCTAATAACAAAGAGTTATAGCCAATAAGCCAACAAAGGACATAAAATGGAACTATAAAAATATTCAATTAAATCAAAAGAAAGCAGGAAGAGAAAAGGGAACAAAGAATTGGAACTAATAGATAACAAACAGCAAGATGATAGATTTAAGCCTAACCATATAAATAATCACATTAGATGTAAATGGCCTAAATACCCAAATTAAAGGGCAGAGCTTGTTAGATGGATAAAAAAGCAAGATCCACCTATATACTACCTACAGGAAGCGCACTTCAAAGATAAAGATACAAATAAATGAAAAGTAAATAGATAAAAACAGACATATCATGTTAGCACTTAACAAAAAGGCTATATTTATATCAGACAAAGTAGATTTCAGAGCAAAGAATAGCACCAGATATAAAGAATATCACTTCATAATGATAAAGGAGTCAGTTCATGAAAACCACATAACAATTCTAAATGTTTATGTGCTGAATAACAGAGTTTCCAAATAGATAAAGAAAAAACAAATAGAACTGCAAGGAGAAATAGACAAATCCATAATCAAAATCAGAGATTTCAACACCCCTCTTTCAATAATTGATAGAACAAGTAGGTGATCAGTAAGTATATAGAAGATTTAAACTGTTAAACACTTAACCTAATTGGCATACAGATTGGAAAGGAAGTACAATTGTCTTTATTTGCAGGCAACACGATCATCTATATACAAATATGAAATAGTTAGGAATAAATCAGAAAAAAGATCTGTAAGACCCATACACTGGAAACTACTAATCATTGCCGAAAGAAATTAAAGAAGACCTTAAAAAATGGAAATATATGCTGTACTCATGAATCAGAAAATTTGATATTGCTAAAATATCAATTCTTCGTGAATTGATTTATAGATTCAATGCAATCCTAATAAAAATCACAGGAGGCTTTTTAAAAATTGAGTTGACAAGCTGATTCAAAAATTCATATGGAAATGCAAAAGGCCCAGTATAGCCAAAGCAGTTTAGAAAAAGAAGAATGACTTATAAAACTACAATAATGAAGACAGTGTGTTGTTGGCATCAAGAGAGAGAAATAGATCAATGGAACTTAATAGAAGAGAATCCAGAAATAGACTTATACATATAGGGTCAATTGATTTTTTTTTTCCCACCTATAGCACCTGGTATTCCTAGGTGGTCTCCCATCTAAGTACTAACCAGGCCTGACCCTGCTTAGCCTCCAAGATCAGACGAGATCAGGCATGTTCAGAGTGGCACAGCCGTAGTCAATTGATTTTTGATCAAAGTGTAAAAACAATTGTTGGAGAAAGAATATTCTCTTCAACATATGGTGCTGGAACTTTTGGATATTCATATGCAAAAAAGATGAATTTCATACCTTACACCATGTATGAAAATTAAGATGGGTCATACCTAAATATAAACCCTAAAACTATCAAAGTTCCACATGAAAACATTGGAGATTTACATGAACTTGGCTTAGGCAAAGGTATTTTAGTTATACTATCGGAAAAATTATCCATAAAAGAAATCTGGATAAATAAATTAAACTTCATCAAAGTGAATAATTTCTGTTTTTTGAAAACTGTTAAGAGAATGAAAAGACAAGTCTCAGACTGGAAGAAAATATTTGCAAATCACATATATGTATCCAAAATATATAAAGAACTCTCAAAACTCAATTTAAAAATTTTAAAAACTTGCAAAAAATTTGACTAGATGCTTCATCAGAGATGATATAGGGATGGCAAAATAGCACAGGAAAAGGTGCTCAACATCATTTAGACATAAGAAATTGAAAATCACAGTGAGATACCATTGCTCATCTGTTAGAATGTAAATTAGGACAACCATTTTGGAAAACAGTTTGGCAGCTTCTTAAAAAGTAAGTGACAGATCTATAGTGACAGAAAGCAGATCAGTGGTTGCCTGGGAAAAGGAAAGGTGTTGGGAGGGGACTGAAGGAGAGATTACAAAGAGACAAGAGGAAACTTTGGGGGTGGATGGATATGTTCATTATCTTAATTGTGGGGATAGGTATGTGCATTTATCGAAACTTATTAAATTTTATACTTTAAATGTATACTGTTTATTATATGTCAATTAGACTCAAAACTTTTTTAAAAAAATCAAATGGAATGTTTACACATGTGGAAACTAAGGCTATTTGTAGAGCTCTCAGACAAGTGATAAGAACAGCCCACAAAACAATAAAATCCACTAGGTAGAGAGTAGATATTTAGGCTTTTAAACTTGGTTTTCTGAATTTTGAAAGAGAATAGAACTAGTTTTTGTGTTGGCCACGATTTATTTATCCTGCTTCTTTGAAGTCAGCCAACACCTGCAATGTTGATTTGCCCTAAAAGTTTCTATGGAATAATGAGATTATTTGAAAATAAATGTAGCTTCCTGGGTGAGGTGGAAGAGCAGATCATGGCTGTATTTGGCTATGGAAAAACTAGATGCTGAACCGAAGTAGTTTAGACATGAGAAAAAGTTTTTCCTTGAGGTTGTGGCAAGGGCTGGGCTGACTGATGCTGACTGTCCTTACACACACAGTGTATTTTCCAACTCGTGGATGCTCTGGCTCTCAGTGGCTGTGGAGGAATAAACTTGGAATCCCAGCTGGAAAATATTATAGGCATGCTATTCAACCAGGTGAGTGCTGTGGGGCTAGAAGTATCCTGGACTTGCCCTTCTTGTCTTCTTTGGAGGTGATGAATACCCCAGCCCAGGTCACAACCTCCATATGGCCCAGATTTTTTTTTTATGGTGACCTTAATGCTATGTACCCCAGGCTTTCCTGGTACAGGCTAATGCCTGGATTCTGGTCACAGAGTGGGATATTCTCCATGAGGTAAATTTGACACATTCTGTATGTTTCTTGGCGTGGAGATCTTTGTTGCTCCCCTAAACTAGTTAAAGGGAAGAAGATTCTAACCACTCCATCACGCCTGTGGAAAATATCAGGCCTTCTGTGTTGCAGCCTAGAGTACGCAGAGGACAATTGAACATTTTGCGAAAAGGTGTTACCTTTTATACATTTAATTTGTTGGACACTGTCCTCTTTCCTTTGGGATTGCGGATTTGGATTCCTGGGTTCTATTTTCATGTTCTCCTTATGGTCAAGTGCTACACTTTTTAATGTCTGCATGCCTCAGTTTCCCCATCTGTGCCCAGGGACTGATGACCTTGGTCTCCCCACAGCTAACTGAAAAAGTCAACAACTCAGATTCTCACTCTGTACTGAACCACAGCCTTGCCCTGAAGGCTTTCTGTATCCTGAGTAAGTTAATTTCCCTAGCCGCAGGTATGTGTGTGGGTGGGTTCTCAAGACCTTGTCTCTCCCAGGACCGGGGTGGGGGCCTAGGTTCTCACGAGGGCCTTCCGTTCTCTAGACAAGATGCAAAGAAATTTATGTAAACTTTGAAATTCAATGCATCTCGAAGGGCATAGACATTGCTACGCCCCTACCTTTTTTGTTCCCACTCCCTTCACCTGGGGCTGGCTTCCCTTTCTCCTTTCATCCCAAACTCAGAAAGGTGATACTGTGATTACAGCACTGGTGATCATGAGAGAGGTACAGAAGGGCACATGGTGGGGCAGGGAGGGAGAGGCCTAGCTCAAGTAAAGCATCTGGCCCCATGCTTGGCACATGCTGGACAAACACTGATTCTCCTTTTTTTCCTCCAACCTAATGGACCCTAATTTATCCAGCCCATGGCATCAGTGGTTTGCTGTGAGCATGATTTACTTCTGCTTACCACCTGCCACTTAAACATACCCTTGACTCCCTTGTATTCACGCCCTTCTGATAGCCAAGTTATACAATGATCAGGTGGTATTCTTAATACGAAAGACCATGGAGTCCAAGGATCCAGCCAAGACAGTATCAGCCCTTCAAGTGTTCATGGATGTGTTCCAGGAAGGTGAGTGGGAACTGAGCCTGGTCCTGGAGACTTTCTTTCCCATGAGATCTCCTTTCTCTGGTAGACAGTTGCATATAGTAATTAAAAGCATAGTTTAAAACTCAATGTAAACTCAATGGATTCAAATCTTGACTTTGACACTTATTAGCTGTGTAAACTGGGGCAGATTATTTTTATTCCGTGCCTCTATTTCCTCATCTGAAAAACAGGTAACATTAATATCTACCTTTAGGCATTTTTAGTGAGAATTAAATGAGAAAACATAAGTGAGCGCCTTAGACCAGTACCCACTATGCAGTCAGTTTTATCGTGGTCTAGTGTATGATTATTATTTCAGAGTATAGGCTTCCACTCCAATCAACTGTTTGTCACACCTTCACTGTGTGCCTGGCACAGTGCCTGGTACAAAAAATGCACGCATAAATAAGACATGGTCCCCGGTCTCAAGGAACTCACTCTCAAGTAGGGAAGATGAGGCCATTTACATAGTAAAACGATGCAAGATAATATGTGATGAGTTGTTTAAATGTGAGCATGGCAATGTGCAAACAGGAGTGCAGAGAAGGCATAGTCAAGAGGGATAGGATAGGCTCTGTGTAGGACATGTATTGAGAGCAGGGAAGAAGGGTCTGATTTAGGAGAGGGAATTCACACTGAAGAAGAGCAGTGGTCACAATTCCAAAGGTTGAGATGTGCAGAGGGTGAGAACAACAGCTCAGCTGGCCGGGAATTTGTGTAGGCAGTCATGGAAGACAAGGGCTGAGGCTCAGGTGCCAGCTTGATGAAAATAACTGTTTTAGGTCATTCTTCAGACTAGTTTGAAGCAGAGGGATGGTGGAAATAACCTCTGGGATTCCACCTGGACTTTGAAGACCAGTACTGCACTTAGAATTCTTCCCATCAGTCTGTCTTCTTATGCCACCAAAACAACAGAGAAGGAGGGAGGAAACTGACCCCCTGCTGCATGTTTGTCTTTTCTGTAGTGCCTCAGACAGAAAAACTGCAGAGCGAGGTGATGCATTCAATCATCAACGTGATTCAGGAGGACTTCAAACCAGTGAGCAGAAAGGCAGAATGTTCGGGCTGGGAGAGCAGGCAATTGCTTTCTTGAGACCTTGAGGTCCTGTAAAATGGAGAGGGGAAAATTAGGGAGGATGAGGAGAAAAGTAAGGCACCCTTGCCAAGCCAGTTCTGGCCTCCGACTGCTGCCCATGGCTTACGCTTGGGCTTTTTAAAACCTGAGAAGGGTTTGAGAAGTGAACAGATGGTTCTTTCCTGTTTTCTGAACCTTTTCTGTGGGTAGCATTGTGATGTGCCCAGTGGGGATATGGAGCTCTAAAAGATACTAATTCTGCCTCCTGAGAATTCTTGGTTTGCTGGGGGAAGGCAGCCCTCAAACATCCCATCTGGCATGGGATTGAGAAGCCACATTTTTAACAAGCTCTGCAGCCAGGGTTGGAGACAGCAGAGACTGCTTCCAGCTCTGGATCATGCAGAACAGGGGAGCAGTGATTTGGGGTGCCAAATGTGCAATAATAACTGCATCATCCCTAAAAACAAAGTCCTAAATCTTCAGGTTAATAGGTAGCCTAGGATCTTGAGGGCTGGGCCTTTAGGACTTGTGGGATTTGTTCCTGACTTTCCCTAGGAAGGTAAGAACATGAGACCTTTCCTGGACTCAGATTCTCGCTCTACCCAACACTCTTGCCAATTTTCATATCTCTGGGGAAATAAGGTGGGAGCAAGACAAGTGCTTACAGTTCTCCAGGAGGATGGTAGGAGCCGAAGTGGTTTAGAATTTCAGGGTGGAGTACAGACTTGGTCAGTTTCAGCAGCTAGTAGTCTGTTACCATCCAGAGCCCACTGAAGAGTCACACTGAGCTTGGAGTCAGGAGATCTGAGCCCCTCACCTGTTCTGGCCCTCTCTGTCCTCACTTGGAACATGCCTTCCTGTCTATACATGCGATGGTCTGTGAACCCACAGGTGCGGAAGCCCCTCCTGAACTTCATTGAGATGCTGGGCCAACATAACTACTTTGCCCTGCCCCAGGGGGACATCATCATCAACTACATCATCAAGCTCAGTCAGTCTGACTCAGTGAGCAGGGACCAAGCAGAAGGGAGACCAATGGGGGGGGCAGTCTTCAGGGGAGGGAGCAAGAGGAGGGCATGGTTGGGAACAGAAGGGCACATGGGAAGGGCTTTGGCCTCTAAAACCTGAGCAGTGAGCCAAGAGAGGCCTTGAATTGGGGGACTTAGCATTGGTTTCAGATTTATACCTTTCCTTTTCTTATTCCAGAATGAAGAGGACATGGGAACAATGTGTTTCAAAATCCTAAAGATGGTACAAGCAGCTAGGGTCAAAGAGGCCTCTTCATTTTCTCTTCCCCTGGCTCCCCAGATCACTACCCTGACCCCCTAGACTGCATTCTACACCCTACCCCATATAATTCCTTATACTATCTCTTCCACCCTTCCCCACCTCCACCTGGTCCCATTCAAGTGCCTGGTGCTCCTCTGAGAAGTGGCTCAGTAGAGCAGAGTCACTGGGTGGTGAATCTGAAGGCCTGAGCTTGAGTCCCACTCAGCCAGTTCTTAGCTGTAAAATCTCGAATCAATTGCTCTCCTGGCTACAGTTTGTCCTTTTGTAAAAGGGTGTGTGTGTGTGTGTGTGTGTGATTATATTCTACGTTGTTCTTTAGCAACCTGTAACGATTCTTGGAGGTTTGTATGAGCTGATGTGGATCAGAGTTGAGTAAAGGGCTGTGGGAGGAAAAGGACATGTGATTTGCTCTCTTACCAAGCTCTGTTTCTTGGCATTCAGCATGGCTCTGCCCTTGGAATGTTCCCCAATGAAGGCAATTACAAGTCATACAATTCCAAATTTCAAGAAGCCCGTCTAGCTAATCAAGTCCTTGCTACTGCAATTTTAATCAGGACCTTGGTTATATTTTACCAATGTGGAGTTGGGTGGGAGGCGAGGGGAGAGAGAAAGAGAGAGAGAGAGAGAGAGAGAGAGAGAGAAAGAATGAGAATGAGAATGAGAATGAGAATGAGAATGAGAATGAGAATGAGAATGAGAATGAGAAAGAATGAGTGAGAAGAGAGAGAGAGATGAGAATGAGAATGAGAATGAGAATGAGAATGAGAATGAATGAATATGAATGAATATGAATGAGGCGGGTGGGGGTCTGTGTATACAGGCCTCAAATTGGCCCTCTAAGAAAGGAAGACAAGATCATGAGGTTAGAGAACTTATGACTGGGGCTGATTTGGGGCTTGACATTGAAGCCGTTGCCACATCCTCTCCCAGGTATCCTTGCCCAAACTGATCACCTTGGCGTGTGAGCCCAGGAACACCTCAGCCTTTGTGCCCCTGTGTAAAATAGCCACGGAAATGGCTCTGAAGGCCTGGTTCCTGGGCCAGGTTCCTTACCTCAGCGGCTTTCACCTCAGGCGTAAGTATAAGGGTGGGGAAGCCTGTGGAGAGGTGTCTTCTGTGAAAGCTTAGGCTGCTGTAGGCATAGAGCGTTAGGGTGGGAGGCTGATGGAGACACTAAGGGAGTAGTAGGTGTAGGGGAGAGTAAATCAAAGGGGTGGGGCAGCAGCTTAAGGCTTTTTGGGCCTATGGATGAAAAGGGGACTCCTCTGGAAGACACACGGGAGTAGTGGGTGTAGGGGAGAGGATGCAGATCAGTGGTGTGGGGGAAGCTGCAGGGCCCAAGCCTGGGCCATGATGGGAAGAGTAAATCAAAGGGTTGGGGGAACAGCTTAAGGCTTTTTGGCCCTATGGATGAAAAGGGGACTCCTCTGGAAGACACAGTTCCTTCTTGCCTTTATTCTTCATTTTAAAACACTGTGATTGAGATACACAAACATTACAAAGTAATAAGTACACAGACATTCCTGATCCTTAGCTTTTCTTTGCTCCAACTCTGAGCCTCACTCTGTGTTCCCATCCCTCACCCCTAATCTCAGTGAGAGTCAGTGTTGGGGTGAGGATGTCTGTTCAGCACACTACTTGATGCGTGTGTGTTTTTCATAAGCTGAAAATGTAATGATTTGATTTTTAGACTGAGTCAAAACATTACAAGCCCCCATGGCATTGGCTGTGATGTTTCCTCTCCACTTTGTTCTTTCTCCTCTTCTGAAGTACTGATGGGCTGCCGGTGGGGGCTGGAGGTTGGGCATCCTAGAGCTTGCACTGACTCTGTCTTCTTCTTTTATCCTCTCTTTAACTTAGCCACCCAGTTCATCTCCCCACAGAAACTCATGACCCATCTTGTGGTAAGTGATGCTGGGATGAACACTACATCTCCATCCATCTATCCATCCATCCCACAAATAGTTGAGTACTATTCTATTTCAGGTATTATGCTGGACATGGAATAAGGAGGTAGGGCCTAGGATCATGGAGACTCTGGGGAGAGGTAATCTAGGCCAAAGAGCTTGGAGAAGGGAACTGGGAGCATAGTGATGGGGCCTGAAGTTGGAGAAGGCCTGTGGGATGGGAAAGACCTAGCCTGTCTCCTATGTGGCCTTATTACGATCTGCTCTCCGTTGACCTTGGAGAAGTCCACATGCCTTTCTGGAGCTCATTTCTCAGCAAGTATGTTTTCAGTTTCTCTACTTGCCCAGACATTATGAACATTTGGAGTGACAAAGATAGACCTGCCCTTGAGGTGTCCACAGTCTTAGTGAGGAAGACAAGCCTGGGAATAACCACCCATAATTCAGTGTAATAAATATACTAATAGAGGAATCCACAGGGTGCAGTATGATCTTAGAAGAGCAATGGGCTGACTTTGTCTCCAAGAATCAGGAGGGCATTACAGAGGAGATGATGTTTTAAGAGAATCTTGGAGAACATGTAGTTCAACAGGTGGAAAAGAATGGGAAGGGTGTAAGTTTCACCTCTACCATTCTATGGGTTTGTTCTAATCTTTTTTCCCCCTTAAATCCTTTCTCTGCCTCCTGCTTGCTTCTCTTGTTTCTCAGATGTTTTCTCGGAAGCCCTACAGAGAAAAAGAGTTTGGTGCAAGCTCCCTAAGGCTACTATATACTCTGCATCCTATCACCTCCCTGCATCCTGTTATCTACTCTAATGTGGGCCAGCTGTGGATGAAGGCAATCCCCCAGATGTTGCAGATACTGGATGGTGAGAGGTTGGTTGGGAGAGGGAGAAATGGAGCTGAGGCAGTGGGCAGACTCCAGAAGAGATGGAGTCCAAAGATGCAGGATGGACCTTCCTTTGGGTTAGGAGAACTGGGACCAGCTTCTCTGTCCCTCTGAGAAGCCATTGGATAGGTCTGATTATTTGGGTGTTGTTCCACACTGAGCAGATAGATAGTCTAGAGTTCTGTGGCTCCAGAGTTCACAGAATGACTCCTGCCCCTTCTTATGGGCAGAGGATC